TGAAGGGCTGGACTCATCATTAGTATTTATGGTAGAGAGAGCAGGAGTAGGATCTGAGATGAGTGTTGAGAGTATGTTGATGCTTCATCACCAGCGTTTGGGACACTCATCCTTTAATGTTTTAAGTAGATTGTATCCATCTCTATTTGAGAAAGCAAATAAGCAGAACCTTGTGTACGATGCATGTGAGTTTGGAAAGCTTACTAGAAGTTCTTATGTAAGTTTTGGTCATAGGAGTTCTCGTGTATTTGACCTGATACATTCAGATGTTTGGGGGCCTTGTTCCACAAATTCTATGAATGGATACAAGTATTTTGTTACCTTTATTGATTGTTTCTCTCTCGTTACTTGGTTATACTTGATGAAAAATAAGAATGAAGTGTTTGGTTGCTTCCAAAACTTTCATAGGTATGCTCAGACTCAATACGGTGCTGTGATGAAGGTATTGAGATCTGATAATGGGACAGAGTATACAAACAAAGCGTTTGGGGAATACTTGTTAGCTCAGGAAATACAGCACCAGACTACATGCTCATACACACCAGCTCAGAATGAGGTAGCGGAAAGGAAGAACATACATCTTTTAGAGGTTGCTAGAAGTATGATGATCTCCATGAATGTCCCAGAAACATTGTGGGGGCAAGCAGTGTTGACCGCAGCAGCGCTGATCAACAGAATGCCCTTGGACTCCACCCACTCCAGATAGCACTGTATCCATTGAGGCTCTTACAGAGGTGTCACTGGGAGGAGATGAGATGACAGTCAGACATTTAGAGGATATAGTAAATGGTGAGATTCAGGAGCATGGTCATGTTCAGGAGTCTATTGCAACAAACAGAACTAGGAGGGTGACTCGTCGACCAACTAGATATGATGATGTCATGGTGGCATATGCTTTATCAGTAAAGGTCATTGACGATTTGATTTCTTTCACATTCAGGGAGACAGAGTCTAGTCCTAATTCGATTAGGTGGAGGAATACTATGGAGGAGTTGCGGTCTCTTCAGAAGAACGACACTTGGGAACTTACAAAGCTACCTAAGGGTAAGAAAGATATTGGTTACAAGTGTGTATATACAAAGGAGGAGGGATCTTCCATAAGGGACATTCGGTTCAAAGCCAGATTGGTTACTAAGGGATATGCACAGCTTAAGGACGTTAATTATAACGATGTGTTTTTACCTGTTGTGAAGCATTCGTCGATTCGGATTTTATTAGCATTGGTGGCATAACTGAATATGGATTTGGTCCAAATGGACGTGAAGATAGGCCTTTCTACATGAAGATTTAGATGAGGAGATCTACATGACACGACCCATGGGGTTCAAAGCTGCAGGAAGGAAAAATTTGATGTGTAAATTGAAAAAATCTCATTATAAACTGAAGCAATCACTGCGACAGTGGTACAAAAGATTTGATAGCTTTATGATTGGTCAAAAGTACACGAGGAACCCTTATGACCCATGTGTTTATATGAGCAAGCTACATGATGGTGAGCACGTTTATTTGTTATTATATATTAACGATATGCTCATTATTTCCAGGAACACTTCAGCTATAGGGAAATTAAAAAAAAAACTGTCATCTGAATTTGAGATGAAGGATCTTGGAGAGGTTAAGAAGATATTGGGTATGGAGATTGAGCGAGACCGAATGAAGGGGAGATTGAAGCTTACATAGAGGAGTTACTTACAGAAAATGCTGAAGAAATTTAGTTTTGAGGGTAATGCCAAGATGGTGAGTACTCCATTAGCTCCCCACTTCAAGCTTTCAGCCTTGATGTCATCAGTTTTAGTTGAGGATCAGGACTATATGTCCAAAGTTCCATACGTCAGTGCAGTGGGTAACTTGATGTATGTTATGGTATGTACGAGGTCAGATTTGTCACAGGCCGTGAGCATGGTATCTAAGTACATACACGACCCCGGGAAGGGTCATTAGGAGATCGTGAAGTGGATTCTACGGTACATTAAGGGTACCGTGGATATTGGTTTGGTATTCAAGAAGAATGAGGAGACAGAGCAGGATTATATTGGCTACGTGGATTCAGACTATGTTGGAGATCTTGACAAGCGTTGGTCCACTACATGTTATGTTTTTACATTGGCAGGTACACCGGTGTGTTGGAGATACACATTTCAGTCTACGGTGGCTCTCTCTACTATAGAGACGGAGTATATGACGATGACTAAAGCTGTGAAGGAGGCTTTGTGGCTGCATGGATTGTTGGAGGACTTAGGACTTTTGCAGGAGACCATTCAGGTATATTGTGATAGCATGTCGACTATCTATTTGGTGAAGAACCAAGTTTATCATGTACGCACGAAACACATTGATGTCAGATTTTATTTTGTACGTGACGTACTAGATGATGGAGATGTCACGTTGGAGAAGGTCCACTAACGACAACCCTGTTGATATGTTGACCAAGGTTGTTCCAGGTATTAAGTTTGGTCATTGTTTGAATTTATTTAATATTCTTCGATGTTGAGACCGTTGGCGGTCATTTGGATGAACTACGTTCGGCTTGATTCCTTGGGCAAGAAGATACGTAGGCAGTCTTTTCGATGTAACCGGTTTGGACTTGTTGATTTTGATGGGGGAAGATTGTTCGCGCTCTCTTTTGGGTTCCCAACTTGTTGTGGATTGAGTTCGTTGTCACGGATTGGTTCCATGGCGTACTGGACGCAACAAGTGGGACGTGTGGATGATTTGGTGTCGATTCAGTTTTGATAAAACATTCGTCGAGGTGAAGAATTATAGAAATGACGTCAAAATCCATAAGGGAACAAGCAGGCAATTTCACGGTCGACCGCACATAGCTCTGCGGTCGACCACGACCGAACCCAGAAGTTGGAAACTCTCTGAAGTTTTTGCGGTCGACCGCGATATTGCTCTGCGATCGACCGCGATGCGGGTTTGGGTTAAGTTTAGTTTTCCAGACCCGTTTCATTGTGAGCTTGTATATAACCCTAAGCATGAATTTTAGGGTTATGCAGTGTTGTAAAAAGCGGCCGATAGCGGGGCTATAGCGGCGCCTTTCGCGATCGCGGCCCCTCAGCGCTACGCGGAGGGGTGTCGCGGTCGGGTTTAGCGGGGAAAACCGCTTTGCATTCAAACCATAGGACCTGTTAGACCTGGACTATGCATGCAATTGGCGTTCATTACCTATAGAAAAATTAATTGTCATTTAATTGATATAATTTTCTGTATGAACCAGTGTTGTAAAAAGCGGCCGATAGCGGGGCTATAGCGGCGCCTTTCGCGGTCGCGGCCCCTCAGCGCTACGCGGAGGGGTGTCGCGGTCGGGTTTAGCGGGGAAAACCGCTTTGCATTCGAAAAGCGCGTAAAAGCGCTCAAAAGCGGGAAAAAGCGGGCAAAAGCGGGAAAATCCGCTAAACCCATATTCGATTGTTTTCGCGCTGAACCTGACCCGAACCCAAACCCGACTTGTTAAAACCAGATAAAAGATGATTTTTTCTCTCCCACTCCCGAACCCTAGCCGAAAGAGGATCTTCTCCGTTCCAGCCACGACGATTTTCTCCCACGACGATTGTCTTCCTCAGAGCTCCACAACGCAACCCTAATTCCTCAGAGCTCCGTTCCAGCCACTCCCGAACCCCTTTTTTCCTTTCCAGCGTTCCAGCGACTTCCGCTCTCTGAGTCCAGCCAGCGTTTCCAGCGACTTCCGCTCCCAGCGACGAGACGACTTCCGAACTCCGAGTCTCCAACAAGCTTCCCTCAAGTCTCCAACAGCTCAAGCTCCCAGCGTCATCTCATCTCTGTTGGCTAGATCTGCAACAGAGGTAAAGGTAAAATAGCTTCCCATTCTTCTCTTTCATTTTAAACCTTCTCAATGTTCTCACTTCTAGTTTTCCTGTCTTCACTTTCATTTTAATTGTTGCTATATGAGACACTTTCAGACTTTCTAGAAAGAAGAGGTTTCATTTTCTGATTTTTCTCTTCTGAATTTGCTCGGATGTCACTGACAAAGTGTGTTATAATTTTTAAATAAGTTGACGATAAACTTGTTCTGTCTGATTTTTCTATACTTGAATATTTTATTTTTTAGGTCAACTTTCTAGTAGTTAATATGATGATGATGATACTAATCAATGATTTTTTTATTGTTGAGCATTTTTATATTAGAGACTTGAAAGTTGAAGAAAGACAACTAACAGTCTTTTGGATAAACAGGTACGTTTTTTCATTCTTTAATCTTTATAATTATAGTATGTTGTTAATATTATGTAATTATCGCACATCTATTTCATGTATAGGCATCATGTATGCATTTATAGGATTTTTAGATTTTTATATGATTTTTCTTATTATTTAGAATATTTAAATATATTAATATTTGACCGCTATATGACTGTGCGCTATTTGCCGCTATTTTGCCGTAATAGCCCGCAATAGCCTAAGCGGTACCTCGCCGCGACGCGACGCGATCCGCTATCAACAACCTTGGGGTTATGTAAGGAGGGTTTTGAGCTGCCAAAAGAGGTTGTTGTTGCATCCATTGTGGGAGGCTTTGAGAGAGATCTAGAGAGCTTATTTTATGGGTTTTGGTAAGATATGTAACCTCTATTTGTATTCTCCTGATTTCTAATAGTATAAACTCTCCCCTCCTTGCCCCGTGGGCGTAGGCAACTTGCCGAACCACGTAAATTTGTGTTTTTGTTGTGATTGGTGGTTTGTTTGTGTTATTGTGATCTATTTTGGTTCTTGTGTGTGCGATTTATTGGCATTAGAAGGCTTCCGCAGCGCACAACAGTGCCAGCCCACGTAAGCAGTCACCGTTCCCCTAGGCACTCTCAAGACCTAGACAGGCAGAGCTTAGACGGTCTAGGTATCGCCTAAGCCTAGGTGGGACCTTTTTTAAACTTTGAGCACTGTGCAAATCAATAGATGCAATAGATTATAACAATTCAACTATATACACATGCATAGAAAGATGCGAGAGGCAAGAAGTAGGGAGGGAGGGGCGAGAGAGAAACCTCAGCAACTGGAAGACCAAATGTAAATCCAAAGAGAGTAGCCTTAACTGATTCTGTAGAACCCAGAAGCGGAGCCCCTGAAAATTAAGGACCAAATAAAATGAAAAGTACATATTGCAAAAACTAATTAGAAAATAAGGGATATAGCAACAAAACAAAAACAAACCAACTGCAAAATATGCATGTATATGCTCGTCAAGCCATTGGATGTAATGCTTCGGTGCAATTTCCAGCTTGAGCCATTCCAAGAAATAGCGAAAGACATTATTCCCCAGGGAATGGGCAAAAACCAAAGAGGGTCCACCACGAAGTTTAAGTGTTGTTTCAAAAGTTAATCTGCACATNGGGGGGGAAGAAAAGAAATTTTAGTTATATTGCAGAATTTTCAAGCCAGCAACTGCAGTCATAAGTTTTCTATACAAAGTATGTTTCCTAGAAAGACAATTATAAACTACTAACTACTTGGAAATACATGTTTAGCAAGCATAACAACTAATATATCTTTTGCATGTAAAGGACATCTTGGTTTAGTAACAGTTTGTTTGAAAGCTTGGCATATATAAGTTGTTGCTCAAAGAGAAAAACACCATACTTTTTTTATTTTGCAGCCGAAAGGAATACTTGGAAAAAGGATGAGAGATGTTTCCACCCTTGAAACTATTGTACATAGAGCATTTTGCAATAAAAACTGCACGACAGAATATGCTAGAAATATAAACTCAAAACGACTTCATGTGTGTACTGGAAGAGTATCTTCATTGAAAATTAATGGTTCTGACTTCTGAATGAGATTATTAGGAAGAAAGAACTAGTCATTAAGCGGAAGGACTGCAACATTAAGATGGACAAAGATATACAAACTTTAATTTGTGAAAGTAAAGGTCTCTCTCCTCAAGCATTGATGGTGATAGCCTCCAATCATATGGAACGGCAACTATTGCATTAGCCTCGATCCCAAATTCAATGCACCATTTAAGCCATTCTTTCCACACAGAAGAAAGAGGACCTGGATGTCAATACGGAGATCAATTAAGTACATATTCAGACAAATTCATAGTGTATTCATGACAAGGTATATGTTAGGTGTTAATTAAAAAAAGAGAAGACAAGTCGTCTAGTTCAATTGAAACAAGAACACAATACACATACAGAGCTTAAGATTATGAAAATAATATTTTCTTCAGAGATAAGCAATAACACGGTATTTATACAGTGAGTGTATGGCCATTGGCTATCTAATAAAAAAGTGCCTGTTGTCAACTACAATCAAGTAATGGCGCCAGGAACTTAATCCTCACAAGAAACATGAAAATTTTGAAGCTCATTTTCCAGATATCAAACATGCAACTCTCATCCATAAAATACATACTTAAACACCTATTCAAAATAGTACAAATAGTATTATATGTTATTTTTTTAATATGAAAATGTACTAGCACATCACCAGTTTGGCTTCACCACACTGAACTGCACCTTTCACTCTATCAGATACAAATTTATCATTAATCCTTGGAACCATATTTAAAGCCTTGTTTTCCTAGTTGTCAAGGATAAATCTCCTCCTAGAGTACTGCAGCAGAAACCAATTTTCTAGTATACAAGTAACACTTAATTAGTCAGTATCAGTTCTTGCAAATTAAATTTAAGTTTTTTCTTCTAATCTGCAATTAATGCTTAGCTAAAATTATGATGGGAACCGATAAATATTTAAGAAATAGTTTGCAAACGCAACTAACAAGTAGAAACCTCACCTGTTATATACCCAGGATCCAGCTCAGTAATCGCAGAAAGTCCACTATCCGGCCTCGATTTACACTCAGGATGATCTGTCTGATTATAAGGGTCCAACAGCATGCACTTTAACCAACAATTCACCGCTGAAAGCACCTGCAAGAACATCCCCTCAAAATAACCAATATCAACCAACCAAGAACAAATCTTTAGTTCAATTTGACTGAGTCTTAAATACATCAATATTCACCAACTTTCCACTTTATAAATTCACTAAACATTGTTGATTTTTTTTAGTTAAAAAAAACGACAATGCCATTTGTTAAATAAACAACTTCATCTCTGTCTAGGTATAGAAGAGGTAAATTTCACTAAACCCCCAATAACTTTGGCACTTAACCCCCAAAAATTACTCTCCCTAAATTAAGTTTGGGAATTCCAAACCCCCCAACGTTTTGTTTTGTTTTTGTTTTTTTCCTTTCATTTAACCCCAATGACTACTTTATGATGTTTATTTGATTTCTATATTTGGGAACCCAAAATACTTTCTGACACCGTTATGGGGTTAATTTAAAAAAAATAGCGGTTTTTTGGAATTCCCAAATAGCAGTTATTGGGAATTTAGCAAGAGATTCAAGATTTTTGGAGATAAGTTTTGTTAGAATTAATATAATACTATAATCCTCCATTCTTACCATGTAATGGTTAGGGGGACTAAATTTAAGATGTTATAAGAGCAACCCAGATTCAAATTCCTCTGACAATGAATTTTAGGTGGATTTTGTAAAAATTGAACCCGCTGCAGCTTGAGTTCAGGTTTCAGCCCATAAAAAAAGGGCGTTCAACCTGCTGCTATAAAAAGCTTAAATATATCAAATGACAGTCATATGGAGATCTTTTAGGAAACATTCTAAAGACTGCGTAACATAATGCACAAAGGTTGACGGTATATAAGTGCAAAGTGCACAAAACATTGAGATACTAAAGTGCCAATTAGCCTTCAAACTCGTATACCTTGGTGGTGTCGAGCCAAACAGAATCGAGAGGATTGAAATCGAGAGGAGAAAAAGGGCAATCAAGCACCGACCAAGCTCGGAGCTGAGTCGATGCAAACCCCGGTATGATGATTCCCGAGAGCTTCGAGTAGTACAGATCCGACGTCGCTCCGGCGAATGAGAGGAGGAGGAGGAGGAGGAGGAGGATAGAGCGCGGAGCAGCGTACCGCTGCCCCATAGCTGGGGGCTGGAGAGGTGACGTCAGCAGGGTTCTGAGGAGAGAGAGAACTTTGGTGCGTTTTCTTTCTTTTTTTTTCTTTTGGTCTGAAATGTTGATTGGCAACGAAGAGGAGACTGGGAGTTAAAAAGTGTGTGAAAAAGTATCGCCTAGATTGTCGGGTCCTAAAGTTGCGCGTTTTGCGGATGCACCGTTCGCATTTTCCTACACTCGGGATGCAAAATGTATATAAATTTGGTATAATGGGGATAAAGGTATTAAATATCTATCGGTTTTCCTATAGAGCGGGCACTCTATAAGGCTATGTTTGGTTTGAGAGAAAGTGGGAGAAAGGAAAGTAAAATAAAAGAGAAAGTGAATTTCTGCTGTTTGGTTTAAAAGAAAACAAAAAAGAAAAAGAAAACCATTATCACTGCAGAAAAATAGCTATCTATTTTTTCGTTTTCCCTTTCTCTCCGCTGCCCAGGTGAAAACGAAGGAGAATCGGTCGCTCGAGCTTCCGACTTTCCCCGATCGATCAATCTTCACTCTCTCCAAAACTCCGGTCGATCAATCTCCTCTCTCTCTTCCCTCATTCTCTCTCCAAAACTTCGACCGATCAGTCTCCAAAACCCTAGTTCGACACCGACCGAAGCTTTGACGCCGATCAAATCCTAGTTCGGCGTCGATCAAACGAAGACTGTAGCTCTCCAAAACTTCTCAGTTTTCTACAAAAAATCGAGACAGTAGCTCTCCGATCTGGTTCGATTTTCTCAGATTTGCTGAAGATTAGAGTTCTCTTCTCAGATCTCTATCCTCTGGAAATGAATATAGTAAAGACAAAACTCATCGATTCATCAGTTGAGGTAGAAAAAATTCCCGATTTTTGTAGCATTATACGTTATAGTTGCAACTAGCTTTTGGTCTATAGTTTATTTTTTTTAATTTGTCTTTGAGGTTGGTGTTCATATCTAAGGGAGATTATACTAGTTTTTTTAAATTTGTTGTCGAGGTGAATTGGTTCAAATATCAGATTGGTGTGCGATTGTGTTCGAAGGCTTTTGTTCTGACTAAATTTATCTCTGGGGATAAATTTTTTATGTGACTGGTAAGTGGAATTTCTGTTCCTTTATTTTTATTTGACTGAAATTTATGTGGCTGATATTAATTATCTAGGCGAATGTCAGTAAATAGTATATTGGAAATTGGTGGTCATATTTTTCTATGATGTTAACTCTGCTTACTATATTAGAGCTCACATCTTCGTTTATGTTTTACTTTTTACAGTGTTAGATATAATTTGTAGCAAATTCTAAGTTATAACTATATTGGACCTTTATAGTCTACTTATTTGAAATTTTTTGAATTAATTTCAGGGGATGAAGGATGCGAGATTGATGTTTTGATAGGCTCACTAAAGTCAAAAACCAAGGAATTCGGCATATTTTTCTCTCTATTTGGTTAAGATTTTCTATATATGAAATTGATTGTAATAGATTTTATTGGTTAAGGTTTTTTATATGAAATTGATTGTAATAGACTTTGTGACTAGAAACGGATTATATACTTTATATATATGAAATTGATTGTAATAGACTTTGTGACTAGAAACGGATTATATACTTTATATTAGGAATATCATGACATTTACTTTAGATTTGTTTACTTTATATTAGGAATATCATGACATTTACTTTAGATTTGTTTTGGTTCTTTCATTGACCTTTCTTTCTGTAAATATTATATGTGAGAAATGTTGTTCTTTAATTAGCGGAATTGTGGTTGTGCTTCTGCTTGTTAATATTCACAAACTTGATGTTGATGGCCACTCAAGTTTTTGTGTTAGGAAATTGCCAATTTTTTTAAATACATGTTTATTAATAACTTGCAAGTCCAAGACCATGTAAGATTATATGCAAATTTAGAGTCATCATAAATTTGACTAAATTTTCTTAGTTAAGATTGTGCAAACATGTTCGGTAACTTGTAAATTTTTTGAAAATATGATAGAATCATAATTTAATTTTATTATTTTTTGTAAATTATTTAAAATCTAAATCTAATTCCAAAAAGTATGAATTAAAATTGTTTTGTGATAATTTTCTTCCTCTTTTCTCAGAAATGTAACCAAACAAGAGAAAATGACTTTCTTATGAATTTTCTTCTAACTTTCCTTACAATATTCTTTCTAACCAAACAATAAAAAGAATATCATTTTCTTTTCTTTTTCTTTTCCTTTCTTTTTCCTTTCTCTTTCTTTTTCTTTTCTCCCCCTTTCTCTCAAACCAAACATAGCCTAAGAGAGGAGAGAGATAGAGAGAAATGAATGAAGACCCCTAATTTGCATTGGGATCTCCTCCTCATTCATTTCTCTCTTTCTCCCCTCTCTTATAGAGTGCCCATGAGCACTCTATAGAAAAACCGAATATCTATATTTAGTAAGATATGGTATGATACGGTCACATTTAAGTTTTAAGTTTTATTTATTATGGGCACGAAAATAAGCAAAATGACTGAATTTATTCCCAGATGTTTTGATGCATGAAACGATCGAGAAAATGAATCAACCTTGACATTAGAATAGCATATATGAGATCAATTTTTAGAATCCACATATGTACACTTCATAATTTTGGATATGTAGAGCACATTTATGAAATTTGATCTGAGTAAATTTCGTCAAGTCGGAGGCCACTTCCATCACATTGATGTATGAGTTCCAATCTTGTTCATTTCTTCCATGCCCTTTTTCATTCATATATTACTTCATCAATATTATTATTTAGAGCATCATGTGATCCGAATGATTGGAAGGTTCTAATATGACTCCATAGTCTTGAATTTGACTCCCGGTGTCTTAATTATAAAAAAAAACAATATTTAACCAATGCAAATGGAATTTTTCTTATATAAGAACATATGTACTAGCATTATTACGTTTGCAAATGCACATGTCGTAGATATTAAACTTATGTATTTTAAATTTTATATAAAAAGTGCCATAGATATTAAACTTATTTATCTTAAATTTTATATAAAAAGAGCGAATTATATTTTAAAATACTGTGAAGTTTCATCAATTTGTTAACTTTTATATCATAGTCCAAATAGGTAAGATATAATTTTATAAAAATATAACATTGTGATTTTTTATGGAATATTGTAATCTTTTCAAGCACGAGAATAGCTTTTCCATTTACGAAATGTCAGCCGAAATCATTGTAGAAAATACTTTCTGTTAAAAAAATCTATTATTTAAAATCAAAACTATTCTTTAAAGTAATCACAATCAAATTTTTTAATCATTACATATTGCATTGACACACCTTTAATAATCATTTCATTTCAGAAAAGAAACTTATCATTTTATGTTTTAATCTCTCATAACATATAACTTGATGAATGCTCAAGTTATGTTAGTTCAAATCCTATTTTCATTCATGATTTAGAGTGTACTAGAGATACGAACACAATGAATATTAATCATTGTGAATGAAAGCCTATTCTCATTTATAATTTAAAATCTTCTAGAAATAAAAGAAGAAACAAAAGAAAGGGAAACAAGTCTTTCATGTACAAAACTACCAATATGCCCTTTACTCTTCTACTATGATGGGAAATGTCCTTTAATCTTTTTGGTATCTCCACCAAGATTTAATATAGTAATATATATTTGTATGCATGATTAATAAAAATAAAATATGTTAAGTACCACATTAGATTTGTTTCCTTTTTGTTTAATATTTCGTAACATTATTGCACGTGCGAGACCGACATTTTTTTGATAGAAAAACAAGGGATGTACCATGTTCATTTACTTAAAAAACCAGAAGTATCATTACAAAGAAGGATACGAAACGTATCCATTAATTGGTAGATAGAAAACTTAATTTCTCTTGACTATTGATGTATAACCTTCTTCTCCCAAACATCCATGAAGATGAAGAGAGGGTCTTGTCGTCATTCATCGTTGACATGGATATAAAGGAGAACCAAAGCCGGCCATACATTTGGAGAAAAGAAATTAAAGTTTCTATAGACCAATTGTAATACAAAAAGCACACCACCAAAAAATTTTATATACAAACAAAACATGATGCAAACCAAATTTCTTAACCACTGCAGCGTGCGATTGGCTTCTCCTCTAAGACTTTTGCTAACTGAAGAGCTGCATTCTTTCTTCCTGATCCTGCCCAATCATGTAGAGCAAGTATCGAAGTGTTAATAAACTGAAGAGCTGCATTCTTTCTTCCTGATCCTGCCCAATCATGTAGAGCAAGTATCGAAGTGTTAATATATAATTGATTGAGCAGAGAAAGGTTTGTGATCAAATATAAACTTATTCCTTGAAGTCCATATAAACCAACAAACTGTCGAAAAAACAGTGCGCCATATAATTCCATCCATATTACGCAAGGATGCAACAGATATCAGAAGATCATCTAGAGATGTTGGCCAATAGAAAGGTAAAAAGTAATCTCCAAAATGCTGCCAGACCGCTTTAGTTGTAGTGCATGAAAAGAAGATATGGTTCTTAGTTTCAGAGTGCATACCACATAAAACACAAGTAGGATCACATTGCCATCCTTTTTTCATAAGATTATCTTTGGTGTGTAAACGATTCAGGGATAGAAGCCAAGTGAAAATCTGAATTTTGCTTGGCAAAATGGGATTCCATGCTACTTTGTAGAAAGCATATATGATTCCTCTAGAGCTTAAGAAATCATATAAGGATTTAACATTGAAAGAACCACTTGAAGTGAGAGTCCATCGTGGCATGTCAAACTGGTTTGTAAGACTATGGAGATTAATAAGATTCAAGAGATCTATTTTTTCTTTATGAGATTCAGAGGAGATACTTCGCTTCAACAGTGGATGCCAGTGCCATAAATTATTTTGGTAATGTCCTTGACTACTAATGGAGATATTTTTGGAGAAAGCTAAGTTGAATAAGGATGGATATAGACTTGATAGACTATTAGAACCAATCCATTTGTCCTCCCAAAATCTGATTTTTTCTCCTGAACCAAGAGACCATGATATGAGATTAAGAAAGACTTCCTTATTGGAGATGATATCATTCCAAAAAGGAGAGTTGCAGGCATTACAATTTACTAATTGTAAGAAAGAAGCTTT